ACTTCCACATTTTTAAGCATTTAAAGCCAGACAATTTGGGTAACAGCCTTGCAAATACAGTGTAACACATGAGTTTAAAATCGTTATGCCAAAGCCAGGCAGATAATGTGCCACACACACATCTGAAGATGGGATAGGAAGGTGTGGAGAGGCAGATTTCAGGGGAATGGAGAAATTCTTAGGAGACAGTCACTAGATTCTCTGCTCTGTTATACCAAGAACTTTCACATCCCTAGAATATCAAAGGTTTACCAAAAATATTATAAAAACCTATATTAGTTACAACAATTAACTGTAATAACTACACTAACTGTAATAACTAACTACAGAAATAACTATATTAACTATATTACTACATTAACTACTACTAAATATATATTAACTATATAACTACATTAACTATAATAATTAACTACAGAATAATTAGCTACGGGGTTGGGGTTTTTTGTAACTTTTTTGTAAATTTTTGTTGTAAATTAAAACATATGTTTTGCTCCCTGAATGACAAGGGATTAGGATTCCTTATGGAATTCACAAAGCAGCTCTTTTACAGATCCTCTCTCCCTTTTACCTGCAAAAAACCACAATTTGGCATCACTGGAAGTCTACATTTTAATCATTCCAGGTGAAATATTCCCACATTAAGAGCACAGACTACATAAGGGTATCAAAATACCAGGTTACAAGAGGCTGAAGGTAGAATTATTCTCCCCAAAGCAAGCTTAAATCAGATGCTTAATACAAAATAATGACAGGGTTAATAATAATTAACATTTAGTGATTTCAAGCTAGATGTTAGTATTCTGAATTTACCTTCAAATTCAAATTTCTCTCCGGAAATATCAACTTCATAATGTCTGCCTACTGTTCTCGTGCACTTAGATCATAAATCCTTTGGTGAAGTGACTAGCCTTATATTCCATATTTGAAGGCAACTGGTATTATAAAAGCTTTAGTCCATGTCTCTCTTCATTATTATTTAAATAGGCTAAGGGAGGGGAAGGAGTGTGTGAAGTTCATGACCAAAAAAATACTGGGATAGAAGGGAATGCATTTAAAGCCCCAATTTAATTTCTAGTCTTGCAAATGTAATCAATACTCATACTTCTTACTGCTGCAGTTGCTGGTGACCTGACCTCGTGTGTCATATCCAACAACAAAGCCTCTCTGCTTAAAGTCTGAAAAACATCTCTCGAGATACTTGTAGATCCCCTGGAAAGAGAAAAAAGGAAGAAGAAAAAAATAGGGAAGAATTATCTCTGGTGTAGCACATAAAAACATTAAAAATGATCTTTTATATAAGATGTATAACGTCAGGAAGCAAAATATAGCTCATCAAAAACATCAGTAATGATATTTACAAAAGCAGCATGTTGATTATTCCCCAAAGTGTTCACAGAAAGAAAGCAAACAGAAAGAGTTGTGGGAAATCAAAGCGCTACAACAATAAGTGACCAAATAACATAAACAGAAACCTTGAGCCAGCAAAATCCTCAAGCAGCAAACACTTGTTTTCAATCTCTATCGTGTTTTTATGTATTAATCATGGAATGGTTTGGGTTAGAAGGGACC